AATTTACATTTACATCTAGAGGATCAGCACATAGTAACTTTTTGACCAAATGACGATCTGATCAACGTTGTTAACTTAGATCGTTCAAGAAAAATGATGTTGACAGAGTTCTTTGCAATAAATCAAGCAGACGAGAATGCAAAAACATTATTGTATAAACAATTTCCAAAATATTATGTTTGGAGCCAACAACACAAGTGTTGGACTCCTCGGGAAAAAAAAATAGTTATAGGCCGTATTGTCACGGTAAATCCATTTGAAGGCGAGATGTATTATCTGTGAATATTGCTAAACCATGTAAGAGGACCTTTGTCATTTGAAGATCTAAGGACAGTTGATGGTTTTGTGGCCCCAACATTTCGCGAGGCAGCAACAATGCATGAGTTGCTACAGAGAGACAGCAGCCTAGAAGATTGTTTAAATGAAGCGTGTCTATATCAGATGCCGTCGACTTTGAGACGGTTATTTGCAACAATATTGGTTTATTGTAATCCAACCAATCCGAGAGAGCTTTGGGAACGTTTCGAGCAAGACATGTCAGTTGATTACAAATCAACAGAAGATTCTATATCAAATGTAAGAGCCTAAGTATTGAGGTCAATCTCTTTTACAATTGAATCAATGGAAAAAGACATTAATTCCTACCATTTTCTTGAAGACGACATTTGCTTCGATGAAGAGGAATATAAATTTAGAGAAATCGATGACGAATTGGCTGTTGAAATTCCAGAAGAGGATATTGCCGCATCACAATCTTTTAATAGTGAACAACATGTCTATAATGCAATACTGGAAAAAGTATTTGCAAATCAAAATGCAGCATTTTTTGTAGATGGCCCAGGTGGGACAGGGAAAACATTCCCATACAAAGCAGTTCTCGCAATAGTACGATCAAAAAAATTAGTAGCACTGCAACTGCTTCATTAGGTGTTGCTGTATCTATTCTTCCGGGAGGTCGAACAGCACACTCACGCTTCAACTTGATACTGACGAAAGAAGCACGTGCTGTGTCTGCAAACAAAGTGCACTGGCAAACCTACTACGTGCAGCAAAACTAATAATTTGGGATGAGGCTTCGATGACGAGAAAACAACACATAGAAGCATTAGGCACAATGCTACGAGACATCAATGATTCAGATGTCACATTCGGTGGGAAGATTGTTGTTTTCGGTGGAGATTTCCGATAGGTTTTATCCGTTGTTCCTAAAGGAACAAGACAACAACAAGTAAATTCAAGTTTGGTTTATTCGTATTTGTAGCCCACATTGACCAAATTCCGATTAAAGGAAAATATGCGAGCAAGACTGGATCCAATTTTCTCAGATTATGTGTTACAAATAGGGAACGAAATGCAGCCAAATACAGTCGATCAAACCATAAAAATTCCAAATAGGATGCTTGTTCCCTATGATGATAACATCACTTCTTTAGATCATTTGATAGACGATGTTTTCCACAATGTTCATGAATATTAAAATAATATTTCATCTATGATCAACCGGGCTATATTAACACCGAAGAATGGTTATGTCGACGAAATAAATGCATTGTTAATTCATAGGTTCCCAGGTGAAATTCATCGATATTACAGTTTCGACGAGACAATAGATACATCTGAACAATCAGTCATGGAAGATTTCTTAAATACTCTAACACCAAATGGACTTCCGCCCCATGAATGATTACTTAAGAAAAACTGTTACATCATTCTGCTTAGAAACATTAATCCTTCAGAAGGACTATGCAATGAAACCCGTTTGATTTGTCAGGCTTTTGATCGAAATGTAATAGATGCAGAAATTGCAGTTGGTCACCATATCGGAAAAAAAGTGTTCATTCCAAGGATACCATTCTTACCAAATGTCAATGAAAACAGTAGTTTCCCTTTCAAGCGAACTCAGTTCCCTATAAGATTAAGTTTCGCAATGACTATAAATAAGTCACAAGGGCAGACATTGGATTATGTTGGGATTTATTTATCTCAATCAGTTTTTTCACATGGTCAATTATATGTGGCTTTATCGAGGGCAAAGACAGCATCTGCAGTGAGGATTCTAATACGACCAGTGTCCATTGAACAATGTGAAAACAACTATACAAAAAATATTGTGTTTACACAATTACTTACATTATCATGTCTCAATTAATGTTATCCAGATAACTTTATTTACTTCAACAGTTTCGATTTATTATGTGTTACAATATTTTCCTCCAAATGTCAAATATTCATTTATTTAATTAAATGTCTTCGTCAATTGTTTTCATACTGTCTGAATTTAAATTAAGATCAGTTACACTTATACATCTGATATTTCTGCATCTGAAAAAGAAAACGATGTGGACAGTGCACATTTCAATAAAGGATATCACTCCGAATACAAAAAACTGGAAGATTAAGATGATCGTTGCGGAGAAGTCACATAAGCGAACAAGCCAACGCACAACAGCCAAGTACCAAAATTTGACATTAATTGATCAACAGGTATGATATTTGTTAGCGTACATTATGTTTCCAATTATCAATATCCTTTCAAATTACAGGTTCTTAAATTATATCGTATTATATAAAACATTAATTATGTCAGATTTATTTATTTTTCTTTTTACAACATATTTTGTTTCAAAAAAAAAACACATAAATTTTCAAAAAAAAAAATTCCCGGTAAAACAATACACAGCATTTTATCTAATACACTATTAAGCACAATTACTTTTATTCGTGGTACAGGGAAATCGAGTGCAAGCATCAATGTTTGGCACTGATATTGACCCCCCGGGACGACACTTTAAAAATTTTACACTCGTATTATATCATCAATGCATATGTCAAACCAGTGGATTCGAAATACAATATTGGAGAATATAAATATCAATGGACTCTGAACTCAAAAACAATAATAGAAGATGTTCCACAGAACGAAGAGCAAATAGTTGCACCAAAATATGACATCGTCTCATTCAAGGACTTAGAGACTCATAGAGGATCAACTGGAGGAATATGCAGTTTGATTTAAATTTTATTACAAATTAGTTATCAATAAATTAACATTTCATATTTAAATTTTCAGATATTTTAGCTGTAGCAATCAAAATGAAGCCAACTAAAGAGGTAATCACGACATTTGGACCAGCAACAATCCAAGAGATATATGTTATCGACGAAAGGTAAAAAAAAATCTTATAACTTCTCATTTCAATTAAATTCAAATTCCAATTTCAATTTACGAATATTTTATTAATTCTTTTAATAATTTCAATTTCGTAGCTTCAACCCCATATGTTTGACTATGTGAGGTCGATTCGTCCAAGACGAATGTCAGAAAATATCATATATTATTGAAAATAAGCCAATAATACTTGGAACAAAAATATCTGTTGGATCATATAGCGGTATTTTTAATAACAAAAAAGGTTATATATTTTTCCATACTGTACATACTTGCACTAATATTGATCTCAATCTCAACAAAGGATTGTCTCTCTCATCACGTCCATCAAGTGCCTTCATAATCAATCTTCTTCTTCCCGAAGTAGCTGCAATGAAGCTGTGGTAATTCTTGTCAATTAAACATTACATATTAATGCATCACTATTACACACATTTCATTTCCTCACATTATTCTTCTTTCCTCAATTCCAAGGGCGGAGAATAATGATTCAATAATCAAAAGCATCATTGCAACATCCTTCACACACCCATCTGCACCGCTATCATCTGTTGGTATTCAGGAAATTGTGAAGAATTGCGACATTGCAGATTTCATCAACGATTTACAACCCACAGCCGTAAATATTATTCTATTACTAAATATTATTTCATTAGCAATTCATCATAACATTTACACAAAAATTTATTCTACAAATTTATCATGGTTTCACACAGAAAGCAAAAATCTGGATAAAGGCGAAGATAAATGTGATTGAGTTCGCCCAACTCTTTTATTACATGTCGTGTGTTGCCTGCAACAGAGGAACTGGATATCTATACAACGAAACCTTCATTTGCATATATTGCAAAAGCCAAGGAGCCTGCAAACAACGGTATGTATCTTACAATTTTAATTCAAAATTCATGTCAGATTTCATTTACAATTTCACACAATTCAAATTACAATTAATATATTCAACGCATTTAAAGTGCAAGAGCATATGTTGAACTCGACGACAATACTGGAAAGCTAGCTGCTACTATGTTTGGTGAAGTAGCAGAACATGCACTTGGTTGTTCAGCAGTTCAATTGATGGAAAATGCTAGAGAGGTATCTCTTAAATTATTCTTCAATACTTCACTTTTGTTATAATGACTTCTTTCAAATACAATACGATTTTATATTAATTACGTAAACCTATTCAACATTTCTTTTGAAGGAAAATCAACAATACGTTCAAAGCTTCACAGATAAGTTATCAAATCAAATTTGGATGATTCAACTCTTCGTAGATCCACAGAAGTTGAATGACAAAAAATACAAGCATTTCAACATCCTTTCTATTGAAGAGTGCAAGATGAGGAAACAGCTGGATCATCATCTTCAAATCAAAATTATCTCAAAGACCTTTCATAAAACTATGACCTAAGTTCATTTACAGGACAATTCCATACATTCTATTAATGCACTTTTCCAAATATATATATCACAACGTCTAATTCCTCACTAGTTACATATACATTACATCACCAGTTCTTCAATCACCCAAAACAATTACATCTTCATTACTAATAAATTTATTCCCAACTGCACATATTCAATACGAACTAAGCAAACGTTCACTGCACGTTGCTTACACCTAGTGTGTGTGTGTGTATGTATGTATGTGTGTGTGTGTGTATCACATCTTACCCTGCAAAATATCGGAATTTTACAAAAACAACAAACCAAACGCCCTCTAAGCTCTCCACTTTAGTTTTTACACTTTTTTGACAAGATAAAAGTAGAATATAAATATCAAACACGAACAGTAGTAAATGATAGCATCAAAAATTTATATTTCTGTACATCAGACTTCCAATTTCTGCATCAAGTCAAAACAATCGGTACCCATCTTTACAGGCAAGCCAAGGCAAATCCTAGAAGACGGTGTCTCCAAGTTGTCGATCATCCCATGAGAAGTTGCTTCTACAATGAACTTTGAGGCTGTTTCGAACGACATTTTAATAAACGGTGACAATGACTCAGCAATGCTTCCATGTCTGGTCATTGGTCTGTAACCTCTCGTATGCATCATGTAATCCGCAATTAAACTCAAATGCCGATAATCAATCTTCACTCCATAAATATCAAAAACTTGCTTCACCTCTCTAATGATAGTTGCTCAAGCAGCTTCTACCCCACACATCTTCAACATAGCATCAATATTGTTGGAATATAAACGACTCAAAATTGAGGTCGTCTTGCATCTCCCAGAAAGACTTGAAATCTACTCCTGATGCCTTCATTGCCCAGTAAGCAAGGTCTTCATTGCCCGTCTGCAAATCTTTGGCTGTAGACTTTGGCTTTTTATCATCATCCCAAATAACTATCTTTTCATCTGCATCATATTTTACCATTTTACAATGACTGATCTTGCCAGAGCTCTTGATATATACTTTTTTTGCAGTCTAAAATAATCTGCATTCCTGTGTTATTGCCATAGTGGAGATAGTAAGGGCTAGCTGGATCATTAACCAGTCGACTGAGAAGAGAGTTAGCTTCGCTTCTAACCATTTCTCCCACAGACAAATCACCAGAAGAATGTGTATGATCGTACTGACCTTGATGATCTACTGCAACATTGGAATCCTCTACCATTGCATGGAAGTTTCAATCACCTGTTGTGGTACCATGAAGAGATGCAGAGAACGTGAAAATGCGATGAGAGGGAAAATGGAGGGAAAATCTGTTGCAGTCTTTCAGCTTAATTGTGTGGCCAATTACAGTACAAACCGGTATATAAACTAACTAGCTGAAACACTACAAAGCAAAGGGAGAAGAAAAAGACTAGATTAACCTATTGCAGTCTTTCAGCTTAATTGTGTGGCCAATTACAGTACAAACTGGTATATAAACTAACTAGCTGAAACAGTACAAAGCAAAGCGAGAAGAAATAGACTAGATTAACCTTTTATAATCTATACAATTACATAAATATCCTTTAGTTAAAATTGGTTTAACATATATCTTGCTAATTTACCATGTATAGCAACATCCTTTTATGGCATAAACAAGAAAAAGAAGGTTCACATTTAAAAGCGACAAATAACACAGTTTGTCCTTTTTAGCTAACGATAAATTTTTACGTTCCAGATAACACATTCAAAATATCGTTAGAATGATGATATTTGTTTTAAAATGACACGTGTATGCTGTTATACTTTAATATTTGAATAAAAACGAAAGACAAGGAATATCAAAGAAATTATGTTATCAAGATCCTGTTGTTTCTCTTTTCCCTAATTTAAATTGCCACTAACGATATTTGTTTTAAAATGACACGTGTATACTGTTATACCTTAATATTTCAATAAAAATGAAAGACAAGGAATATCAAAGAAATTATGTTATCAAGATCCTGTTGTTTCTCTTTTGCCTAATTTAAATTCCTTCTTATAATCATTTCAGTAAAATAATTCTTACTCGAGCGTCTCTTTCAATTGGTAACATGCTTATTTCCGGCTGAAAATACTCTAGATTTTATGTAAAACATACAGTATATTTATATGCTTTTGTTTTTGCAGATTTGCAGTTACCTGGTGCTCTTGTTTAGACACAGCACGTAATAAATGCAGGCCGCCAAATTCCAGAAGAGCATCTCCTCATAGAATACATAATATGATTGTTGATCAAAACAATAATCAAATCCTTAATTCTCAACAATATAACCATAGATTTTACTCCATGTTGAAATTCGAGAAAGTAACAAAACATAAAAACATACCTTGATCCATGATAATCTGATTCTTTGTCTGGATAGGTTAGCATCTTCCAAATGATTGGTGATCTTCCCTTAGCTTTTGCTCTCTATTGATGAGGATGTAGAGAAACTTGAAGAACACCAACAAATGGGGTCCATGACCATATAAAATAATAATAGTAACTCAATAGTCACTAACTTTCAGTTGCTTCAAATTGGCCCCTCATCAATTTAAAACAACACTCCGGTCTCTACACTATAATTCCACGAAATCTAATACCCATTAGTCATAATACATCTTTATTGGATCACTTTAATTGACTAATATCATTTAAATAATAGCACCACACATTTCAATATACAACGTGTGGCCCCATATATGTTGAAATTATCCAACAATCTCCCATTGGGCCATACGTGTAGCCTTACAAATGTGCACAACCTTATGAGCTCAAAATTTTGCTATTATTATTATGGTTATTACCAAACAATCTCGTCCATTAGTCATATTGATATAGGATCAAAGCGATTTTTGTCATATTTAACGTGACTAAATCCATCAATGGTCACATACACGCATACAACCAAA